CCCCGCCCGGGCCGGGCCGGGCCTGGGCGGACGCGGCGTCGGTGGCGAGGCCGAGGCCCGGCGGTGCCCCCGGGCTGCCCGGGCGCAGCGGGCCGGGGCTCCGCGGCCCCCATGCGCAGGGGGCAGGGAGGGCCGGGGGCTGCGCTCCGGGACCCGGCCTCCCGCGATGTGGCCTCGGCGAGCGGCCGTGTCCTTGAGAAGCGCCCCCTCCCTCCCCGCTGGATCGCAGCCCTGGGGGCGCCGGGTGGGGCGGAGAGGGGCGGCGATGCCCGTCTGCCAAGGTCCCGGGGAGGATTTTAGCAGCAGTGTTCTCGAAATGTCTCCAAGCCGTGCACTTCCCCTCCTGGCAAAGCACTCGGGTGGTTCAACAGGTACACCTTTCCCAGCGTGGAGATGCCATGTCAGAGAGAGGGCGTGGGGGGGGGGGTGCAACCGAGCGCCAGGCTGTTTTTTTAAACGCTGCATATTCCTTACATTTTTTCCACCCTTTTTCCTGCAAGGGACTCAAGGCGGCATACGTAATTCTCCTTCCCTCTGTGTTATCCTCATGATGGGCCTGTGAGGTAGGTTAGACTTACAGACAGTGACTAGCCCAAAGCCAAACTGAGCCTCCCGGCTGGGGGGAGCTCGAGGCCGCAGCCCCCCAGCCCGGACTCTCTGCAGGACGCGGGGGGCCAGGGCAGTGCTAGCGCAGGGGCTCCAGCGAGGGGGGCGTCTGGGGGAGATCTGGCAGCACAGCAGCTGAATGGGGCCAGCGCGTTCCAAGATGGTTGGCTTCTGGTTGGTGCCGGAGAGGCCCGCCTCACCTCCCGATCCCCAGGCTGCCAGGGGAGTTCTGACCCAGATGGACCTCGCCTGGGACCCAGCAAGGATGCCCTCCTGCGTTCCCGATTTGCACAGATGAAGGCACTCGTTCATCTGTGATCCTAGACGTGGCTTTCGGGGGCGTTAACTGGCAGCTTCTACCCCATGTGTGGCCTCAGGGAGTTGGAGGGTGGCGTTATCGAAAGGAGGCAAACCTAGCAGCCTGCTCTTACTGGAGACTGATTGGCTGAGTTCATGCGCACAACATGAGGACTAGGAGCATGTCAGGGTGGAGTTGCTAGGATGCATACTTTGATTACTATTCCACTGTACCTTTGTAAGGCCTTTCCTTTAATTCCTGCATGGCTTTTCAACTTCTGGGAAGCATCCGTTTCAGTGACAGCTGCCGGGGGGGGGGGTGCAATGGGACATGTAGTCCAACCTATCTGGAAGGTGTCAGCTTGGAGAAGACTTTATTAAATTGGGAGGGCAAAGTCCAGGGTCCTGCGTTCTCCTCTGGGGGGCCCGGTCAGCTGCAAGCCCGGCTTGTGCCTCCGGGGACCCCCGGCCCTGCCCTTCCCCGGCATGGGAGGTTGGGAACATTCGGAAGCACCCGGGGCCCCAAAGGGCCGCCGAGGAGGCGAGGGGCGCCCCACATGGTCTGCTCATCCCCGGGCTAGACGGAACCGCTTTTTCAGAGAGAGCACAACGGAGGGACGCTGGACCTGAGTGAGCCTCGCCGAAGACCGTCCCCTCTGCATGGGCGCCTGTGCGGCGGGGAGGAGCGCCTGCCCGAACACCCAGCGCCCCCCGGCGGCCGTCCCTGAGCGGAAGGGGCGGGGGACCCTGCGCCCTCACCTGGCACCCGCGCCCTCACCTGGCACCCGCGGCCGGGATGAGCAGTGGCCCGGGGCACGGAGGGCGGCCTCGGCCCACATGGCTTCTGGATGAACCGCCTGCCCCCCGGCCAGGTAGGTCCCGTCCCAGAGAACGCGGCCCAGGCCTCGTGCGGCTCGTGCGGGACGCCCCACTGGCCAGGGGGACTTTGTGCCGCATGGAGATCTGCCCCACGCCCCACAGGAGGGGCCGCGTGCCCCCCCTCCTCAGCCCCGCCTGATGCCCGCCTGCAATGCCCTGGCTGAGGCAAAGCGCAGCAGGGGGCTTGGACGGCGTGGCCCTCTGGGGGCGGGCTGGGGGTGGGCAGGGGGTGCCCCCCCCTCCAGGCCCCGGGGCTGATGCCCCACGGCCCCCCTGACGTTCTGCTCCTCTTTCAGGGCTCGCCAGACGGCACTGAGATGATCTGAGGAGGCCTCGGAGGGCGGCAGGGCGCTGGCTTTAAGATGACCCGGACAGACGCGCCTGATATCCTGGTGTCGACCGTGTGTCAGGGCGTCAAGGTGGCCTGCGCCGCCCCCTCCCCCTCCGCCTCCCGCTGCCCCACAGCGCGATGTGAGAGCCCCATGTCGTTTTCCCCGAGGAACCTGCACCCCTCGCACTTCAACAAGCGGCACTGCCGCAGCTTCGACTTCCTGGAGTCCCTTGACGAGCCGCCCCCTGCGCCCCCCGCCATGGAGCGGATCTCCCGGCGGCCGCCCACCCCGGAGCCGTCCTCTGTCCCCGCCGGCAGGAAGGCGCCGATGCGGGCCGTGGCGGGGTATGCCGGCAAGGCCTGCCCACGCGAGCCGGAGGCCCCCGCGGAGCCGGCCGCGCGGGGGGAGCCGAAGAGGCGGGGCCGGTCCAAGAGCGCCCCCCGGGCCAAGTCCGCCTTCGCCCCCGTCGCCCTCCCCGTGCCCACGGGCTCCCCGCCGGCCCCCGCCAGGAGGGGGCGCGAGGCCCGCCGGGCGTCCCGGGAGCCCGAGCGAGCGGAGCCGTCCCCGCGCCGGGAGAGCGGCTACGCCTCCGTGAAGGCCCTGATGAGCGAGCTGCACCCCATCAAGCTGCAGCCCCAGCGCAGCGGCGGCAGCCGCATCTCGCCCCTCTGCGTCTCGGGCGCCAACTGCTACGAGGAGCCCCCCCCGGCGGCGAGGCCGGCGCCCCCCAGCGTGCACGTCAAGCGCCGGGTGGACATCAAGCCGGACGAGGCCGCAGTGATGCATGCGGCCCGCGGCCCCAGGGCCCCGCTCGGCCACGGGGAGGCCCCCCCGGCCTGGGCCCGGCCCCCGGCCCCCGCGCACTGCCTGACCGTGCCCGGCAGCCGGCAGGCGTCCGTGTCGCGGACCCCCACGCCCAGCGACACCTACAGCGGCGAGCACCGGGTGCTGGCCCCCTTCCCCGCCGACCTCTACGACGGCGGGCCTGCTGCGCCAGACGGGGGCTGCGTGCCCTTTTCCCCGTACGTGCCCACGAAGTTCTTCTATGCCGAGGAGCCGGGCAGCTTCGCCCCGAAGGGCTCCGGCTACGAGGGGTACCCCCTGCAGTACGGGGTGCACGTCCTCCCCCCGCAGCCCTGCTACGCGGAGGAGCCCCCGCAGAGCGGCCTCCGCCCCCTCCCGGCCAGAACGTTCTTTGTGGAGGACGGCCGGAGCACCTTCCCTGCCCAGGAGGCCCCCGCCCAGGCGTACTTCAGCGATGACCCCCGCTTCTACGCCCCCAGGACGCCCCCCGTGAAAGCCATTTATGCCGAGGACCCCCGGGCGTACCCTGCCTTCCGCTCCAACCCTAGAGTCTTCTACACGGAGGACTACGGCAAGTACCACGAGCGGGAAGCCATGTGCAGGACGTATCCGTACCCCCGCGGCGCTCCCCCCGTGCAGTTCGGGGACTGGTACTGCCCTGGCAGGGCGGCGCTGCCCTACCAGACGTGGCAGGTGCCCCACCTGCCCCCCCACCCGCCGGCCCCCCAGGCCATGCTGTCCTCCTGGCACGCCAGCTACAGCGTCAGCCCCCCGCGGCTCGGCACGGACGCGCGGCACTACTCCAAGTCCTGGGACAACATCCTGACGCCCCACGGCCGCCGGGAGGACCCCCTGCTCCGTGGGCGCAGCTACGAGAACCTGTTGGCCCGCGACCCGCACCGTGCCTTCTCCCCGGACGAGCGGCGCCAGCCCTTGGTGGTCAACCTGTCCAGCTCGCCCAAGCGCTACGCCGCCCTCTCGCTCTCCGAGAACTCGCTCATCGAGAAGGTGCCCGCGGACGGCGGGCGCCACGGCTGGTTCGTCACCCCCGAGATCACCATCACGGACAACGACATCCGGGCCAACGGCTTCTGCCGGGGCGAGAAGCGCTCGGCCAGCTGGGACGTGCTGAACGCGGGCGAGGGCCGGGACCGGGGCCGCGTCCCTGCGCGGCCGTACGTGCTGGACCCCGGGGCCAAGGAGAGCGCCGCCCGCCAGCGCAGCCTGGAGCAGCTGGACGAGCTGATCACGGACCTGGTGATCGACTACAAGCCGCCCCCCGCCGGCCAGCCGAGCGAGGTCAGCGACCTGGCGGAGCAGCTCCGGCGGCTGATCAGCGACAGCATGGCGCTCCCCGCCAAGAGGCCCGGCGCCTGGAGGGCCCCGGACCCGCACCCCACCAAGGAGCAGCCTGGCCGCAGCGCCTTCCACGCCGAGCTGCGCAAGGACCAGGGCCGGCACGCCGCCGAGGGGCCCGCGCCCGCGGGGGCCTTCGAGAAGGCGCCGGGCGACTGCTCCCCGGACCTCAGCGCCGACGAGGACGACGTGATGACCTGCTCCAACGCCCGCTGCCGCCGGACGGAGACCATGTTCAACGCCTGCCTCTACTTCAAGTCCTGCCACAGCTGCTATACGTACTACTGCTCGCGCAACTGCCGCCGCGAGGACTGGGACACGCACAAGGAGAGCTGCGTCTACGGGCGGATCGGCAGCACCTGCCGGCACGTCCTGCAGTTCTGCCGGGAGAGCGGGGAGGTGCACAAGGCCTTCTCGCGCATCGCCAAGGTGGGCTTCCTCTCCCGGGGCCGCGGGGTGCTCTTCCTGGGCTTCCCCAGCGCCGGCTCGGCGGAGAACTTCCTGCAGTTCGGCCTGGAGAGCCTGCTCATGTCGCCCACCTACCTGTCCCTGCGGGAGCTGGAGGGCTACGCGGACAACCTGGGCGAGTACGCCCGGGAGCTGCGGGAGGCGGGCCAGCAGTACGACCCGGACGACTGCTTCCTGCTGAATGTGACGGTGGCCGTGGGCCAGAACGTCCCGGAGAGGCCCTCGCCCAAGGCGCCCGTGCCCACGGTGCGCAAGTACGCCAAAGTGGCCTTGGCCAGCTCCAGCCCCGAGAAGAAGGTCCTGCAGCGGGAGCGCGACATGGAGACGCTCATCCTGACGCCGCCGCCGGGCACGGCCGGCCTGGACCGGGCGGGCGAGGAGGGGCGCAAGGCCCGCGAGGTGTGCTTCATCCACATCCAGCGGGAGCTGCGCATCCGCGGCGTCTTCCTGCGCCACGAGTACCCCAAGGTGTACGAGCAGCTCTGTGCCTTCGTGGAGAGCAACCAGCGCTTCACGCCCACCACCATCTACCCCATCGACAAGCGGACCGGCAGGCAGTTCATGTGCATGATCATGGCCGCCTCGGAGCCACGCACCCTCGACTGGGTGGCCAGCCCCCACCTCCTGGACGACCTCATGTGACCCCGGCCCCGGCCTCGGAGGGGCCTTCTGTTCCCGGAGTGACCGGCCGGTCTGGTGCCGTCCCGTCCCGTCCCGTCCGCGGGGAACCCCTGACCAGTGGGAGGCTGGCCCGGCAGGGAGCGAGGCCCCCGGGAAAGGGCTGCGGTAAGGAAGGTGACGCTCCTCGCGGAAACCGAACCCGGAATGTCAAGATGCTCGGTGGGACCCCCCGCCCCGTGTTTGACCTTCTCCCCTAAACCACCGTTTCACGGGCTCACGGGCACCGGTAATGCTCACCTCTGCAGAGATGGCGGGACGGGGCTGTTTCCCTCCTCCCGACCAGCGTTCCCAAGTCTGGGAATACCGGTGGGCAGGAGCGTCTGTTTTGCCCGTGGAGATGGGGAAGAGAAAGTGCAGGCGTGATGCCAGCTTGGTGGGGAGCGTTTCCGTGGGGGCGGCTTCGGCTCTCGCTGCCCCGGTTCATGGCCGCTTGGTCTAGCCTAGTGGGGGAGGCGAGGCAAGGGCTCTCCGGAGTCCCAGGGCCCCAGCTGGGTCACTTTGCAGTGCTGGGGGGGGGGGCGGGTCAGAGTAGTCTTCCTGGCATGAGTGGCACTTGGGTTGGGCTTCCGGCAGATGCTCTCGGGCTGCCCCTTTGCCCTGTAACCACTAGAGAACACTGCTACCTCTCTCTCTGAGCGAGTGTGGCTACGGCTAGACCTGATTCCGTTGGGGGAATGCCAGAGGCCCGCAGGGAGGGCTCGCCCTGAGCGCACAAGTTCCCTGGCCAAACTTCGGTGCCAATCGCACACGTGTCCGCGTTTGCGTGCCCCGTCAGCGGGGATCTCGGACAGATTCCGCACAAGGGTCTCCCGGCACGGCTCGGCTGCACCCTTTGCTATCCCAGTGTTCCCCCATCTCCCCTCCAAGGGGGGTGTGCAGGGCCTCTCCCCCTTCTCTGACCAAGCGACAGCCCTGCGAGGCAGGTTTGAGGGGCAGAGGGCAACGGGCTCGAGGCCGCCAAGGCGCGATTGTGGCTCTGCAGGGCTGGGGTGCTGCCTTTCTGTTCCCCGCGCTGATGGGGAGTCGGGCGCCGGCAAGGCCTGACGTCTGGCACTGCAGCACAGTGAGGTGCCCGGGTGCTCGGCTGTGGGGGCGAATGGAGACGCGGAGATTTCTGGGACGTTCAGACTCGGAATGTGGGCCCGGTGAATGTGTGAACGCGGGGCTGAGCGAAGGGATCTGGGAATCGTGGCACGGTAGAGCCGGAAGGAGCCACAGGGCGGCTGGGCCCATGCCCTGGCGGCCGGCCTCCACCAACGGACCGCTCCCGCCCCTCCAGCAGGCCGCGGCCTTGGCCCGCTCTTGGGGCTGCTGGCACGGGATGCCTCGTCCTGCCAGATGGTGCTGAGCCGTGCCGCTTCCCGGCACCTCCTGCCTCGCGTGGGGAGGGTGGCGCGTGTGCTAATGCGCCGCAGCGAAATCCAGGTCAGGAGCCCAAGAGCTGCAGCGGTCGCCATGGAGACGCCGCACGGAAGGACGGGCGGGTGGGCAGCCGGAACCGGGATGGAGCCGGGCCCTGAACCCCTGCGGAGGCCAGCCGGAAGGCTCCCGCGCCCCTCCCTCCCTCGCGGAGCTGGCGCGCTCGCTGCCGCCGGCGGGGGCTCGCCAGGGAGCCTCCCCTGCGCCTCCGCTTCCCCACCTGTGAAACGGGCATCCGCGCAGGCCCGCCTGGCCTGGTGGTGGGGGGCAGGGGCGGGGGGCATTCCGCCCACGCTCAGCGGCACGGCCTCCGGGCGGCTTGCTCTGCGCCCACCAGGAAGCCCCACTTTTGGAAACGCGCCTTTGCAAATGGGCGGCCGGGGTTGCCGTGAGCCGCTCGGGGTCCGGCTAGTCTCGAAAACGGGGCGTTTGGCAACGTGGCTTCGCCCGTCCTGTCTGCGCTGGGGGGCCCGCCCTTTCCCCCACGCCCCACGGCGGCCCTTTCGTGGTGGCACCCACGGCAGTTTCTCCCTGCCCAGCGCGGCCTGGCGCATCTCTGATGTGTTTGGCCACTTCCGGAAAGCATCTGCCCAGCGGGGCCCCGGCCGTTGCCGCAGGCGAGAGCACCGCCCCGCCGGCCTTGCGCCTTCCTCCTCCCGGCCCCCCAGGCCTGACCCACCGCCCTGGGGCTCCTCTTGCTCCGGGGGGGGGGGGGGCTGGGACCGAGTCCCTCCGCCGCTGCATGGCGGCTTGAGCTGCACCGCACTGACGAGTTTCCTTGTGCCCCTCATCTCGGCACAGGGCCTTTGCATGTTTCCTTTATTTATTTATTAGATTTCTACCCCACCCCTTTCCTTTTTGAGGAGCTCAAGGGGCTTACAAATGCCACCTCCTGTTTCCGTCCTGCCTTTCCCCCTCTGGCGAGGCGGGCAGGGCTTTCGCAGCCGGAGGACAGGCCTGGGCTGGAGCAGCAGCTCGGCGACTCCTGGTTTCCCTGATGTCCACGCTCCTTTTGGGACCCTTTGGGGCCTGGGGACCCTTCCTCCCGACGCTGCGCTCCTGTGGGTCCGTGGCCCCTGCAGCCCTGCGTGGACGCAAGCGTCAGGCCCAGCGTGGCCGCCGCCGCCGCCGCTTCTCTGTCCTGGCCCCAGGTCTGGGTTCAGAAAGCATCCACCTGCAGGCCCAAAGGCCGGGATGGGGAGCCGTTCGGGGAAGCGCAGCAGCCTTCTGAAGCACCTCGGGAGGAGGGGAGCGCGGCCCAAGGAGCAGAGCCGGCGGGGCCCCTTCTCCGTGGAGCAGGCCCGGCACCGAGCGAGCGCCCTGCACAGGCGCTGGCCCCTGCCGCTTCCCGGGAGCAGGCTGGGGAGGGCCGGCAAGGAGCCTGCGTCTCCGTGGCCGGGGCTGCGAGGGCACCGGCGGCCTTCCCTGCCTACTCCTTTGCGCCCCTGCCATTCAAGCGCCACCAGACAGTGCCACGGACGTGGCCTCTCGCCTGGGCCCCCCGGGCACCATTCTCCACTCCCGCGCTGCCCGGGGCACCCCCGCTGTCCTCTGCCGCAGGTGGGAAATGGCTTCCTCCCTGCGCTGCTGCTCTGGGCGAAGGCCCTTCAGCCGGGGAAGGCCAGAGGGCTCTGGCCACCGCCACCAAGGGGCTTCCCTAGCTCCCCCCATTTCCTTCTCCAGGAGCTCTCCTGCCCCGCAGAGGCACTGCCGCCTGCTCAGACCCGGACCCCTCAATGATGTGTTGGAGCACAACTCCCATCCTCCGCAGCCAGCAGGGCCAGTGACTTACTGGCCTCCGACGTGTCCCAAGGGCGGGAGCTTCAAAGAGGCCGACATGGCGGGTTCTGTAGCTGCCAGACTGTCCAGTCATCCCTTCAACCAGTTGCTGCCCCTTTTCCCCAAGAGAATTTTGCTGGTTTCTTGGATAAGTGCATGTTCTATATATTTCCCGTATGAAAAAGAAAAAGAGAAAAAACTGACTACATATTAAAGAGCTCCACATTTTCTCTTGCACAGAGCAGAATTAGGCCTGTATTTTCTCATGTTGCCATTGTTCGAGTCTGTTGGTTTCCTAAGGCACAATTCTGAAGATAAATTATATACATGCACACATACATATATATATATTATATATATATATAAGAAGAAGATTTCCTTTGAATAAATATAACTTGAATGTACAACTGCAGGGCCTGCTTTTTGTGCTCTGTGGAGGGGAGACGGTGGGCGGGGGGGGGAGACGCAGAACTGGGGCCCCCTTCGCTCCCCTCTGCTCTGGCCCCGATGCCGCACGTGCAGGCACAGGCCCTCCAGGCGCCCCAGTGGTGGAAATGCAGTCCAGAAACCTCTTTCCTGGGAATCCCTTGCGGGAGGGGGAAGCATGCGGCGGCTGGCCGGCTCCCGGAGGCCAGGCCGCCCAGTGGGTGCAGCTGTCGCGCGCCTGAGGACCAGCGGCCGCTGCGGGATCCCCGGTGTGGCTGAGCCTCCGCGGAGGATGCCTCTCTCCGCGAGCGTTGCCCGAGCACTGCCGGGTTTACTGGGTTACCGCGCGACCGGCTGAGGCCGAGCGAGGAGAACGAGCGCAAGAAGCGCAAATGCCTTGAAGGGGGCAGGATTCTGCACATGCTCAGAGGCACGCTGGCTTCCCCCTTTAAGAGCTCTGCCCCTTTAAGGAGGCCCGCCCTGCGTCCTACCTCGACTGCGATTGGAGCGTACGTTCCCATCCTGCCGCCTTTCCGCAGCGCGTTCACTGCCATTGGGCCAAACGGCGGCGGGGCGGTGCAGGTAGGGGCTCCGCGCCGCGATTGGTCAAGGCAAGGCACGCGCCCTGGAGTAGCCAATGGGAAGGCTGCCGCGCCGCGCCCCGCCCTTTCCCCGCAGCCTGGCGTCTCGAGCGGTGGGATGGCGGCGGCGGCGGCGGCGGCCCTGAGCGGCGTCTGCGACGTGGACATCGACCCGGACGGCGTCTTCAAGTACGTGCTGA